ATGTTTAACCAAATTGCTAACCAACAACAGCCCCCTTTGAGTGGAGGAGAAAAAAAGAAGGACGAGTCAGGCGTAACATATTTATTGACATTGCGGTTGCCGGACCCAGAACTCAGGACCGAGAATCCGAATCCCCAACCCAAAACCCCGACCCCAATCCAAGCCAAACCCAAACCCAAACCCAAACCCGTATCCGGACACACATTGGATTTCAGTTAGCAGTTAGCTGGCAAGCAACCACCACCACCACTAACCACTGACACCAGGGCCACAAGCCCCACGATACCTCGGACCCCACGAACCCCCCTGACTCGCAAGCCCCCCTTGGAATCCCCGGAGTTCCGATCCCCAGAAAACCACCGAATGAGTGGCACTTGCAAGTGTGGTGTTTATGTTCCATACATCAAGGGTTTATGGGCTAAACGTTTATGTGTCTGGCAACAACAAGCTTTTAAAGGGTTTCCAAACACTCTCCCGCACATATTATTACAGCAGACCATCTTTAAACTAAACTCTGAGAACTGAAATAAAATGCAACCTTAAGCACTTCATTCGACTTATATTTTAAAACATCATAAAATATGTGCTTTCATAAACTTAACTAAACTAACAAGAACTTCAAAACTTTTAATTAAGCATGTTTTCGAAAACAGCACAAATTATTTTAAAATAATTTTCAATAAAATAGACTTCATATTATAAAACGATAACATATTTGCAATATATTCTTGTGATTTAATTTAGAAATTTTATAAAAATTATTTTGTAATATTTGAGAAGGTGGTTGAAGCTAAGGATGTTCCACTGTACCCACAAGCATATGTGGAGGGTGGCGCACTAAGAGTCAATGCTAAAGTTTGCCTTGGTAGCGCCACTTGAAATTTCACTTACACCCACACGGAATGCCTTTTTGTGCGACTGTGTGCGTGATAGAGAGTTGACGTTGCACACTTGGTTGACTCCCAAAAGACGCCCACACTCGAGCGGTTGACCTCAGACGGTCCGCCCAACCCCCAGATAAAAGAAGAAGAAGAAGAAGAGGAAGTGGAAAGGGGGGGACGGGGGACGGGCGGGCTAACGTATTACAAAATGTATTTTATCTTCATCGATTGGCAGAATTTATATGTTTTTTCATGCCACATCAGCGCTTTATGTGTGCACATGAAAGGAGCAGGAACGGCAGGGAATCCCCTTAAGTGAGTTGAGGTTATGTGCTGACAGCCACGAGCACCACCACCACCACCAACATATGCATATCGTTCAGTTCAGTGGGTGTGTGGGATAAATCAGCTGCTGCCAACAGATGATGATGATTACAAAGGGATGAAGTTGTAAGACTGCGATACCAACAAAGATGTAAAGCGTGTCGCTCGGAATGGAAAATGTCCTCTCCAAATGGGCAAGACAATAAACTGTTTTAACATGCGAATCAATTGGCGGAATTTGTAACATTTCAGGGCGTTGTTTTGCTAAATGCTACTCAAAAATTTATGGGTATTTGGGAAACTTTTTAAGCACGTTCTTTGGAGCGTGAAAAATATTTTTTACGGAAAGTAGGGAAGTATTAAAGATGTATAAAAAATACTTTTGAAGTACCCATTTTATCAGAGGTTCAAGTTGTTTTTAAAATAATTTTATAAATCTAGATGGAAGTGAAAAAAGAAAAGGTAGATTTTTATCTTAAAACCAGAAAGAATTTTCCCAGGATCAAGAATCAACCACCTTTTAATAAATATTCACGCTTAAAGAAAATCACCATAATCTACGGCTAGCAGTCAATTTTACTTTGCATAATTCCACTTGAATATACATTATACACACAACACTCCCCGTTCTTTGGCACGAAACTCCTCTGACTGCAATCATGTTTGCCAATTATGCAAATGTCGATGCGGCCCACTGTGCATGGAAGTACTACCACCGTGGGCCACAACCGAGTAAATACTCTCCAAACACTTGGCTTCGTGTTTACCACAATTTAGTGCGACTCGAGTCAGTCGACGAGCACCAGCAGAAAGTAAAGTAAATGCACATTTTTTGCCCACAATTTCCTGGAAGTTACCAAAAGGGAGGGGGAGCATTTTTGCTGAAAGGGGGTCGACGACGAGCACAATAAACTGCAAAGGCGAAGGAAGGGTCGGGGTTCGGGGTTTGGGGATCGGGGGTTAGGTCGTAGCTTGCCACAAGCCAAATGTGTCTGTGTCTGGGCCTGGTTTTCAACCCCCAACCCCTATACAAAAAAAGAAACCCCCTTCCAACTGCACCCCTGTTCGCTTTCGCTGTCTCGTTCACACTTTTCTTTCAGTCTCGTCCTGGCATTCGTGTCTGGAAAGTGTGGCAATAAAAAGGATAATGTAACTGTTATTCTACGCAAAACGGAAACGAAGGAGTGATGGCAGGGGGAAACAGAAGGTTGGGGGGTTTTCGTGGTGGTTTGGGGGGTGGCGAGTGCTTGAAATATTTTTGTGGCAAAGGTGGCAACTTGGGCAACAACAAGATGTGGCTAAAGTAAAAAGCACAACCAAAGGCGGCAAAAACAGAATTGCGGTTAGACGTCGGGTTGGGTTGGGTTGCCAGTCGGCTTGGGTCCTTGCTGAGTGACTGACTGAACAAGTGGCAACGAGGAAACGGCTGTCAGTCAAAAAGCGGGGGGGCGGGTGGCCAAAGTGGGTGGAAAACCCAAGTTGGTGGTGCAAAAAACCATTCCGGCAGCGAACGAAACGTAACGAAACGAAACGAAACGAGACGAGCCAAAGTGCCAAAGAGCGAAGCCGGAAAATTGTGTGGAAATTTGAGCTTCTTTTGAAATTGAGGCCGGATATGACACCCACACAACCCACTGTGCGAACAGCAAGAGAGCGAGAGAGAGAGATAGCAAGTTGGTGGTGTTGGTGTGAGCGAGACGACGCCTGTTGTTGTGTTAAACAAAATGTTTGCGGGTGCAATAAGCGTAAATTCAGTGGTTTTATGTTTACTTATTCAACTCCTCAACCACCCAAACCCCCATAGAACATAACTTCATTTTATTGGCAGCAAAGGAGGAGGGGAGTAGGTGGGGATTTCCCCCCCTTTCCGGGTGGTAATATACTTTTTGCAAATCGATGCCAACTCCTTAAACGGTGGGTGGTGGGTGGCTTTTCGAATGGGCAGATGGATGGATGGGTTGTGTGTGGGTCTTACGACGAATCCCCAGGGAAACCGACTGCCGCCATAGTGGGTGTATACAGTGTACAGTGAACACGGGACAGGAAGCGTGTGGCATGTTGAATGGTCTTGAGTGTTTTCGTATGGTTGACAGGATAACACGGAGTAATTCAATTCGAAATACTTTATGCTGTTGCTTTTATTATTTGTGCTTGCTCGTTCGTTCGGTCGTTCGTTCTCTTTCTCTTTCTTCTCCGTCTTCCTTCTCTTTCTGGTTTCTCCTTTCGTTTCGGGGGATTTCTGTTGTCGGAAGTGGCATTTGTAGGTGGTTTTGAGTGGGTGGTTCGGTTTGTTCGATGGGTGGTCTGCATATAAAAATTCGTGTGCAAAGTTATACACCCACACACACACACACATACACACAAAGAGGAAGACCGTCTGTGTGTGCTTGTGGTTTTCTCTGTTTATTTATTTTTATGATGTTTCCTTTTTGGCATTTTATTGAAGAAGTTTACCGACGCCATTGCTGCTGCATAAATAAGCGAGGAAAGAGGGCGAAAGCACTCACACCCACACTAACACACACACACACACACTTACCCCCCACCCCGGCACATTGCAATTCATAAAAAATCAATATTTATTACAACAGCTAGTACATGGAGCCCTCCTTGTGGTCTCAGCTTGTTATTGGGCATTTAATCAGTTGATTTCTTATTCAGGTTGAAGTTTCTCCTCTGCACTCGTATTGGGGAAATGCAATTAGAGAAGCTTTTGCAGAGATTTTTCCGAGTGTGCGGTGGGAATTCATGTGGGATTAAGGACACTTGAGTGCCACAAGCAAAACATGATATATGCCAGAACAAAAACGAAAAAAAAAAGAATTGAATTTGCCAAAAGACAAATGCGTATTTGGCTACGTGCTCGAGAACTTGGTTCTGTTCTGAATGTGCAAATAACGGTTTTAATTTAATTTCACAGTTCTTTCTGCAAATCAAATTTCTATCTTCAGTTCAAAATAAATTGAGCAGTTTTCTTAATTTTATTAATTAGTTATATCTAATGAAAGCTTTGATCATTTATAGTAGGTAAATACATATATAAATTGTGATGTTTAAATCAATCAATTTGTTGTTTATATAAAAAAGATTTGCTGTTATCTGGTTAAACCTTTGATTAAATTCCTTTTAATTAATAGCAAATTTATTTATATACAATTTTTTATTCGCTTAATATATTCAAATCAATAAGCTAAACGGATTAGTAAGGCAAAAACATTTTGATTGTAAACATTATTATTTCTTATCTCTAAATCCTTACGAAATTTAAATACTCGAAGATCATTTAATCTTGGAATTTCATCTTTACCAAGTGTCATTTAAATACAGATGTTAAAATCGTACCACTTTACCGCATTAACCCCACTTTGTAAACACAAAGAACTCCGAAATCCGTTTAAAAAACAAATACCTTGTCAGGAAATAGATTCCCCACAAATGCCCAGCGCTTCTCAGGAAAAAATGCAAAATAATCTGCTAGCCAAACAAATACTTCTGCCACCCAAACCAGTGACCAATGTTCCGCTTTGGGCAGCTAAACGAGCCAAGCGGCTAAGGCTATTATCGTATCGAACTGTCCGAGAGCAAAGCGGCCAACGCCGAACACTCAAAGTTAAGTGAAACCAATTGAAATTTATTGACGCGAATTGGGTTTCACTTGAACCCGCTAACCTCGGGGCGCTGCCTTCGCGTTTCGCATTACCGGAGGAGAAGTCAGTGGCGAATTGAGAACGGGAATGGGAACGGGAATCCAGAAACCAGGAATGGGGTTTCCCCCTCGTCTGAGGAGTCACTTACCTTCTTTTGACTTGTCGTACTGCTTGGGCGATGTCGTCTTCTTTCCTGGCACGGGCCTCAACGCACTGCTGATGTGCTAAAAAGGGGCGATAAATGGCACATGGACACGGGTCAGATTTCATTGCCCACTCACTGGCTACCGAATGCACAAAATGTATACTCACAATGCGATCGGAGCGTTCGCCGCAGGGCAGACGGGCCACTGCGGACTCGGGACTGTCCTCCGGCGGAGGAGGTTGTGGCACCCAGTTGTAGGCCCGCCTGGAAATGGGCACCCCGAAGCGATCGTGCTGCGAAGCTTGTTGTCTACAAAAAAAAAGAGGAGGAAATATATCAATTAGTTAGATAATTAGTATAAAGCAATCACGTGATGGTTTTCACTTTCATGACCACTAATTAAACCATTTTGACAACTTTCTTGTGGTGCTAATCATCCGAAAAAAAATGAACGTTTTATCAGTGATGCAAACCAGTATCCACCCGAAATAAACTGCTTTTCCCTGCTATTAACATGAAATACAAACAGAACGAATGTTCCTTAACTACACTCTAATCAAATGATTCAACAATAAGAAATGTAGAAGTCATTTTCAGGAAACCAAGAGCTTAAATATTTCATTATTTCGATGAAGTTATAATTTACCTAAAGGTCTGATTTCAATTATTCGTAAAGGTATTGATATTATTATTCATTAAAGCGTTGAACAAATCTAACACAAAGTCAAATAAAACCATTCCAATTCTAAAATTTTGTCACATTGTCTTTTAAACACATGTTACTCTAATGTTATAAAATCATACTACATACAATCGCATTAATAAGCTAGCAAAAAGCTAGAAAGGTTTTTTAACCAAAGTCAAATGCTAATGTGAAATCAAAGCTAGAAGGTCAAATATTAGATAACTTGCGACTGTATTGCCTCCATGGTGTAAACAAACTTCATCTTGACATAGTTATAGGTCTATTAGGCAATTAAGGCCAATAAAGATCTTAGCAAACTATAAAATGTTTCTGCTTAAAGAATTCTAAAATAAATCAGAATCCAATGATTCCTATCCCTCATATTTGTTTCGTTTGTATTCACTGATTTCTGCTGAGTTCCCCACCTCAAGCTCTCGTAGCAATCCAAACAGACGACCGCGTACTCTCCGTTCTCCAGCAGCAAGCCATCATCGCTCTTCTGGTGTTTCACAAACGGAAACTCGTTGACGGGCAATGCCCTCACTCTTTTCCGGTAAGTCGTAATGCCGCACAGGTGACAGTTGTAATCGTGCCAATTGTATTTACGATCCGCTGGATTCACACTGGGACTCTGCGCCTCATACCTGTAAAGTAGGAATCAACAATACATTAATATTTGTTCAACTGATTTAAAAGATAGTTTACTTACTTGCGCCACTGATTCAACATGGAATGGTAACAAAATGTACAGACCAAGGCCGAGTTGTTTCTCAACTGCTCAGCATTTGGAAGTGAATTGTGTTTCAACAGCAGCGGGAAATAAGGCCTCGAACCCTGAATGTAAAAAAATTATTAATGTTTAGTTTTGATTAAAATTCTATTGTATAGCAGAGACAAAAGAGACCTTACATTACATACACTGAAAGACTCTGATTCTATCCCTCCTCAAGCCCAACATTTCTGATTAATCACAAATTAATCCAGAACATACCTTATAAACGTATCAAATAGCTTAATTTGGTTAATTACTGACGGAATAAAAGAGATAACATTTGATATCTACAACGAATGTAGCCCATTTGGGAGCGCTATCTAAAACAATCTGCATTCATATCGTGAAACATTTGTATTTAATCAGCGCTGGATATCTATATTGATTGACTGCGCCTTCATCAAGAATTGGGGAAATGCCTCAACTTATCAGTAAATTACATGTTTGGTAGGCGATACACAAATATTATGCAAACGCAAACGCTGTTTATACAATGTGGCCCAAATTGAGTGAAGGTCTTACGAATTGAGCCGATGCAGAAATTAATCCCTTAATACGCAAGCTTTACTGTAACTGATTGAAGCTCAAAAAGTGTAGCAAATTAACAAATAGTTTGATATGAAAGCCAGTTTTATGATTTGTCTGTGAGTTTGACCTAATGGCATTATTTGTTTGGCTTGAGTGGTTTCCATTCATTAAAATTAGTTCATTACTTATATTCTGACTTAAATGTAGGATTTGAACAATTTTGTTTGAACGTGCAGTCATGTATAAGTAACGATGAGTTCTAATTAACAAAATGTGTAGGGATCAAACTCATGAATTTGACTTTCTAAAACTATTTTAAGGCTTTTTGTGTATTACGAATAATAAATCTACTATGCTATTATAATATTATCTTCTATCTGGTTAAAAGTAAAGCAATACATTTTGTATGTATGTAACAAGTTAAGCAAATGTAACAAATTTAGCGCAAATGCAGTATTTCTCGCCTGATAATTAACACTGAAAGGCAAAACCAAGCTTTTTGAACAGACTACCTAACTATTTCTATCTTTATTGGCCCTATTCGATGGCTCTACCTCTTTGCTGGCGTAGAGAACTCTGGCTAGGGTTAGGTCCGAGTGCAGACCGCAGAGATAGCAGTAGATGGATGTGCTGGCGGGCGTCGATGATGAAATGGATGGCGTGGAGGGCGGCGTGTTGATGCTCATGGCGCCGTGCCGAGATCCGTTCGGGGAGCTGGAGGTCAGCATTGGCGAGGGAATGTTGTATCTGCAAGCAAGATGAAGATTCCATATTAGTAAGGTTCTAAATACAAAATATTCAAATGGAGAACCTTCTGTGCTCGAGGGGAACCCTTTCCGCATCCATGGACTCCCATTGGCTGGCCAAGTAATCCTTGCAGTCCTTGCAGGCCAGCACGCGATTGCTATTCAGCTCGTTGTTGTTGTTATTATTGTTGTTGTTATTCGTACTATTATTGTTATTATTATTATTGCTGGTTACGGCATTGGCCTTGAGACAGGGAAAGTGCATGGCATGCGAATTCATGTGCTCGGCACTCGTGGAAAGCCAATCCATTTTGTTCGACGGGCAGAGCACTTTGCAAATGGAGCAACTGCAAGATTGTAAATTTCACAATTAGTTACAATAATAAAGTCTTGGATGAATCACTTACGGATACTGTCCGTGTCCATTTTCGATGGCTCCTTGGCTGGAACTCGGCGAATTGGGACGCGAATCGCTGCGACGAATCTGTTTGAGGTCGCGTGCCGTGTTTGAGTTGGAATTGTTTGAGTTCGTCTCGTAGGGCTATCAACAATGGAATGAAAACGAAATCATACAGATTGCTATTAGCTATTTGTGTATTTGTTCTAAGAATATCACGCACACGCCGTCTCCAGAGAATTCCGACTGTTTCGTTGAATCCCTCAAAGTCTAACTAAGAGCCTATCTAATCAGCAAGTACGAGGAAGGAAAAATAAAAGAGACCCACAAATTTTTTTATTAAATATTTTATACAATTGATTTGCTATTCAAGGAGTAGACACTCGACTATGACTGGCGTTCGACTGGGTTTGCTTTCGGCTTTTTGCCGTAGAACCAATTCGATCCGGTTCGAACCATGTGCGGTTCACTTATCTCCCTTTATTTTGCGACTTATATTTCGAGGGCGAGAGCGAATGCCTCTCCAAAACCATAAGCTCCTTATCGCAGTCCGCTTAGGACTAATTAGATGGTTTGGGGTTACGACAGCTGATACCAATCTTGGCAGAAGTTCACAGCAGAAGTCAAATATACGTAGCTTGGGTTTTCTATTTCCGCTTTTTGTATCGTGATTAAGCATTAATTGAATAATGTATGTCAATACTATCCATATTTGAATACAATTTGACTTTCAAGGGCCATTAAAGTGAAGCAGGGAATTCTTTTATATTCGAAAAACGATGAACTCATTGAGATCACTTGAAATTATTGTGGGTGGCTTTCAATTTTTTTTTTTTAACGATTCAGATTGAATATTTATTTGACTACGAATTTGTAGGAATAATTATCAAACCGTGTTTGCGTGCTCAGTATTTATCAGCATTTATTGTTATTTACCACTCTAGAAAGTTGAATGACTGGACTCAATGCGATTGCAGGTGTTTGCTTAATACGTTTACAACCTTTAATAACGTGTTATCTGGGGAAAGGACGGGAATGATGATGATAGCCATCTGATATGGATCCTACTCCCACTAAGTGTTTCCAAGCCAAACATTTGCAATTCAAAGGCCCGAGACCGAAATGCAAATATACGAGAGAAGCGGCATGAAAATGAAAACAGAAACCAACAAATAAGACAATGCAAATGTAAACAATTCGGAAAGAATTGTTTAAATATTGAGTTACTGTTCTTGTTGTTGTTGTTTTATTGCCGTATTGATAAATATTTGCATTTATCTATATTTAATTTCGTATTTCGTATGTTGTGCTTCAGTTTACGGCTTCTTTATGCAAGAAAACGAGTTTCGAAAACTCTGCTCGATTGTGCAATGACCTGAATAAACCCAGAATACACGCAAGCTTTTCAATACGCACGTTGTTGTATTCACATATCGAGAGATATAGAAAATAGAGCAAATGGTAGACACCTGTTTAAAGATAAATTATTGTTGGAATTCGCCTTTATTTCGACCCACACGCTTCGCAAACAGATGACTTCTGTTTAATCAAAGCCAACACAAAATGTCAAACAACTAAAGAAAAAGAAACACTTTGAAATTGCTCAGAAGCCACCAGAATTATTCACTCAGAATAATTGTATTGAAGTCAATCAACTCTGTCAAGGTTGTAGATCTTATTTGAATACACCCCCAAAAAAAAAAAAAAATTATAATTCTTACAGTGGAAGTTTTCTGACACAATGGCTATTTGACCAATATAAACAAAGACTAAAGGCCACACAGGAAACAATCTGGCAAAACTAAAACCAGCAAAACGAGACAGTAAATCAACCAAAAACAGAAAGAGAAAACATTTTAAGACAAATTAAGCTATACAAATAGTCAACAAACATTGGCAAGATCAAACAAAAGTATTCGCTGTATACAAATGTATAAAATCAACATAAATCTAGGCATAAAGGTATGCGAATATGAAGAGTAAACCGGAGAAGTTGGCAATAATTTATGAGCGGGGCGACGACAAGTCTTTCAATTGTCTCCCGGCGAAACGCTCAAAGATTTCAAATTAGAAATGAAAAAAAAAGAAAAAAAGGCGGAATGCCAAAACAAAACTAAAAACAAAATAAACAAAACTAAGGCGCAAGAAGAAGAAGAAGACGCGGCCAACAGCCGACTATAAATAAAAAGCGTTTAAGTAGAATTAAGCAAAAAGCAGACAAGTAAACCGGTTCAAAGCAGATGCCTTATAAACTGACAGAAAAAACCGACTCTGACTCGACCAAGTTTACCCAGTTTTTTATTGGTCTCCACATGCATGCATATGTATGTGTGTGTGTGTGTTTGTCTTGTTTATACGATAATTTCATTTGGGTTCCCTCCTCATTTGCCACCAGTCGCACTTGCTCCATATTTTATTTGCTCTTCCCCGCGAGAAGAGGATAGAAGAGCTTCCTATCTAATCTCTGCGTTTGTTGACTCAAATTGGTTAACATGCTGACGATCGAACCCATTCTAGCCCTGGCTTTATTTGGCAAGCAAACTCTCCCGCTTTCAAGGCTGATTAGCCCAGCACTATCCCTCGTTGTATTTGACGGCCTTCTGGCTGCAAATGAATTACTCAACAATTTCAGGTCGTGAACCATCCACTACTATGCATACTACCATCTATCTGTTCACTCCCAGACGCCTGGCACTTTAATGGGGCCCGGTTCATTTGGGTTATCGCCTCTATAAGGCGGGGGCAAGTGAATGCCGCTAATCGCTGGAAATGTGAGCAATGCTATCGCCACTCCGAGTGCCACTGTTACTGACCCAAGCGATCCCATACCGATCCGATCCTATCCGATCCTCTCCGTTTCCCCGCCCAGTTTTGCTGTAATAAGTGCAATCATTGTTTTTCCTATATTTGTACAACCAACAAGCTATTATCTCCCTCGCACTCTCTAGTAAATTTCCATGTTTGCGCACTTCAACCGATACTCTATGAATATATACACACTCACTATATAACGGATTATTTATGATGCAAGGAAATGAGAATCTCCCTCGAGTACACCTCACAAATTGTTATTGACAATCGATTCATCCAACTGCGTCATCTATGAACTAACCGATTCCATTAGCGAAAACTGACCAGATTTGGTTTTACGAAAGAAACATTTCCTATCATAACCGAAAGAATCGGGTTTAAGTCGGTGGCAAGCATGCCGTCAATTGTCATGTCGCCAAAAAAATTGAAACAATCTCTAGTGAAAGCCAGTTTCCTTAGGAAAAATCAACATTTAATTTTGGTAAGCAATTGTTGCTCTTCCATAACAAAAATCCTATGGTTCTATTAGCTTTAAGTACTTAAATTTTTTACTTCCTATTATTGAATAAAATTTCTATTTGGCATACCCTTATTTTCAATGGATTTCTTACAGGAAATTCAAAAGCCATTAAATTATCTCCCAAGAGAATTGTCACATAAATAACAGTCTATTTGGACGACAATCTTTGATTCCTTTCCCCAAAAGACCGCTTAGGCGTTCAGTTATCGGCGATTTCCTTACCCTGAACCGCACATTACTCGTGGAGTCCGAATTGGCCAGGGACTTCTCCGATGGTGAGTTACGACCCCCGCCGAATTGGGGTCCACTATTTCCGGCTATCGCTCCGCTGGCACTGTACATCGCCGAGTTCGATTCCAGCGAGTGTCCAGCACTGGGAGAGGCTCCACCCACCACCGAATGGGTGCTGGAAGCAGCGGGAGGTGGAGCACCTTCCGCCAACCCGGAGTGCTTCTCATTGCACGCGGAACAGACCTGAACCATGCCTGAAAGCCAATAGATAATTGCGTTAGTTCGGATGACAAAAACGGGTACTTAACGCACTCACCTTGCGGGCTAATTGGACTAGCGTTCTTGTAGACTTTCATGGTCTTGATGAATGGATAATAGGGTTCCCTTTCGGCATTTGGACAGCAGTAGACGAGGCGCAACTGGGAGGAGGGCGTGTCTGTGCCACAAGTGTAGCAAACGAAAGTGGTTCTTTCGGCCACGGGCGTCGAGCGTTTTCGCAGCTGATAGGATCGCTCCGATTCCGGTTTATGCGTTGCCTAGAAACAGTTTCCAAATAAAAAGTTTATTAGTCATTAGCTATTGCCAGCTGAAAAGCTGAAGAGGCTTCAACCTCATCCGGAAATTTGCAGATTCACTTAGCAGTTTTATATAAGAAACAACATCAAAGGTGTGAAACATACAAATACGGTTCTATTTAAAATCGATTAACAACGCTGAGACTTTTAGCAAACAACTGTTAAGTCGCATAAAAACTAACGACCTTTACGCCATCTGAATAAATGCAATGAAACAAAAATCAATAAGCCCACGAAACTGTGCAAATCCCAAAATAGCCATAATTGCCTAAAGCTTACTGTCTTGACTGGATTTTAGTTTCTTTATATTTGGAGATCATCGCAAGCCGGCTTTGATGTTAATAGTTGTTCAAGATGCTGACATACAAATGACATTGATAAATAACATTTGTGTTGATTGATAGTTTGACACGCATGAATAAAACATTTCATGATGCAACCAGCAGTAAGCATTTAACTCAAAAAAGAGCCTACTATTCTTGAACGATTACTGTTTACTTTGTGTTTAGTCTTTCGGATTAACTGAGGATTTATTTTGTTTTCTATTTAAAGATTATAAATTAGCATTTAAATTTGATATAATAAAACAAAGTTTCCTTGACCCGGATAAACAAATTTGTTAAACAAAAACATCAATGTTTTTCTACAAGTTATTATTGTCTATAGAATGAATATATTTTTATTTCTTTACGATCAATTAAATATTCATAGTTTAAATTTTCCATTTGAAATCTATAAAAAGAAATGTGTAAGTTTAAACTTTCCATTAATTAAACAGTATCAGTACATTTGACACCTGCAAACAGCAATTTTCCGCTTCCCCGCTGTCATAAACAAAACGTGCGTTACGTATACGACCCGTGAAACACCCACTCCCCAAAACCCACGGGAATTGCTGGCCAGACGTCATCTGTGTTTATACAAATTATAATACGCACGTGGAAACACCCTCACTCACACGCAACACTGAAAGGGCAAAAAAAAAAAACAAAAAAAGAATGAAAAGAAACATAACAGCTCGTCAAGCAGACTGACAAGCGGCATATAACGTATACGACATGTTAGGTTCTCCCCCGTTTATTTGAATATTTTCATGAATTTTTTTGATGACGCCCGCTAATCTTTTATTTCGAGCGCCACAATTTATGTATCTATGCATCTTCATTGCCGCTGCTTCTGGGCGGCTGTCCACTTAGATTAGAGAAAAGTGGCGAGTCGGGGGTCTAGAGCATTCATTTATTTTATTAGGCACTAAGTAAATTTAATTGTTTGTTTACTTTCCGTATTTCATTGTGTCAGATTCTCTGACATTGATAGGCGCGCATTTTGATTGCACAACGGCCCGACGACCAACATTTTCAGATACAAAAGTATCCATACCCATGGGGAGTATTTATGCGCGAGTGTTTCTGTATTTCTGTATTTCAGTTTCCATTCGGTTTGTTTGCTTTGTCATGGGGCGGCTCGCACATATATCACATCAATCTGGACAGTGCCATGTCATCTATATTTATTGATCCAATGGCTCGGTGGTGGCGTCTCCTCCTCCTCCTCCTCCTCCTTCTGTTTCCTCTGCCCCGCCCCCTTCTACGCCCATTTACAAGCCGACGTCTGACGGTTGGCTTTATGGAAGAACAAGTTCGTCATATTTTTTTTTTATAGATGTTCTTTCAGTTGTTTCTCTTTTTTATGTTCGCTTTCCATGCTCGTTTGTTGACTCTATTTTCCACTGCTTATACCCCCATCCAATACAAAAAAAAAAAAAAAAATACAAAAAAACTTCTTTTAGACCTCATTCCCGTTTGTTTGCTTGTTTGTTTGTGCTTTTCATGCTGCTGATAAGTATTTCGAAAATGGGGGTCATGACCGTTTAATAACTTTTTATGGGCAACTTTTTTCCTCTTCTTTCATAACTTTTGTGGCGTTTGCTCTGTTAATTACAAAACAAAGTGGGAGGAAATCTGGGATTGCGGTTGAAACCGTTTTTGTTTGATGTAAAAAAGTTGTTCACAACTTTTTGGCCATTTTTTTTTAAGCAGATTCAAACAACAAGTTAGTTCAGTGGCAGTAACTTTTACTAATGAATGGCGTTTTTTTTCTTCTTTTCGCTAGGGATTATAAAATACTTCGAAGCGTGTCAGCTTACTTTTTATATCTCTAGGTTTTATTATTAATTGTTTGTTTAGACTTTAATTTGGGTCAATATTGATTGATTGCTTGGGGATATTTAATACCTCGAAGAACGTTTTCTATAACAGGCGATTGGCATTGTTATCTTTATATATAGATTTGAAATTATCAGCAGAATACTGACAAAACTTCGATAACAAATACTTTCGATTGTTTTTTCTTGGTGTCGTGTATCCCGGTTTTAGGTTATTATCGGTAGTTTTGAACTTATCTATACAAAATAAATCAAGCTAATAATTGTTTATGACTTTCATTGATCTTTTGAACAAAAGATCGATTGTTATATGTATTTTATATAAACTTCTGATTTCCTTTTCTTTTTGCAACATTAAATTTTACCTTTTCACTTTGCTGATCCTTAAGTATGAGATAGGTTTTAAGTTTTTTGTAATCCTTCCAGCCATTTGTATCCTTTGGCTTGAAATTAACCGATGTGTTGCTACTGTTGTTGTTTTCATTGCTGTTTGTTGTACCATTGTTGCTGGTGTTGTTGTCGCCCACCAACATGGTCAAATTTTGAGCCATTTTGTGTGGGGAGCAGAAAATCACTTGTTCACTGAGCACTCAAATACTTTGTATTTTTTTATCGCATTAATGTAGATCATTTTTTCACAGCATTTCAATTGCTCAATTGTATTCAATTGAGATTGAATGAATCACTTCTTATTAGCGGTTGCTGTTGTTTTGTTGTGTTTGGTCTGGCAGAATAATTAGAGATTTCTTGGCATTTGAGCGTTTGTATGTGTATAAGCGGCACCTTAATTACAACACGATTCAAATTAAATTTAATTGAAACCGATATAAACGTTCTTGCTCTCCTTCTGTTTATGTTTGCGGTGTGCACTTGGGCGTGGATAAAACGCGAACGCGACGACGGATGACGCTCACAACGATGATAATGATGATGATGATAATCACATTGAAATGATACTGACGATGATAATGATGCATCCGTATCCGTTCCCCGGGAGGTGCTGCGAAAATCCGCTAACACACGCGATCACCCGCCGAGGGAACAAAGTCGATTAAGAGGTAACTAATTATGCATTACATGCAACATGCCTGGCCTAATGGAGGTTCGGGCTTAGCGTTCATTAAACCGCGCACAAGATATGGCTTAATTCCGACTAAAATGTATTTGTATTAAGGCATTAAAGCAATATTTGTATAGTTGTGACTTCACTCATACATTATCTTTACCAGAAGAAGAAAAAAGTGTTGGTTTTATCTATTTTTGGTGTTTATAAAATTGATTCTGTTCTCAGTATAAGTCTTCCTCCAGTTCATTATGTGTTTCATTTGTTTTAATAGATTTGTATAATCTACAAATATGTGTTAAAATAACTTAATTTTATAAACTTTATTTTTATTTATAATATCTTGCCTAAAACTATTTCTTTCAGTGCTTCACTTGTTGCTTCCCCTAAATGCAACTGAGCACCGGGCACAAGCCACAAAATGCTCCACACGATGAGAATGAGATTCGCGTGAGTACAAGTACTGGCACCTCTCGAACCGCCCCCTCATCACCCAACCCCCCTCATCATCCCACTGGCAATCAATTGAGCCTCGTGCGAGGGGCGTGGCAGTTGATAACCATAACAACAGCGAGTGGGGGTGCAAAAACTGTTTTGCACAAGTTGGATAATAAGCTTCGCACTCAAGTGAAAGTAAATGCAAAGCGGGAAGGGAAAAACGTCAAGGGGTTTCCCAAGAGTTAGCCAACTATTGATTGCGTTTTGATTTAAATATTATTAAGTCTTTCAGTTTTCAAGAGCAACATTTAAGGCAAACATAAATTATTATATGTAAAAAGCCAGTTACGTTTTTTAAATTTCAAATAAATCAATAAGAATCATACATGAAATTTAGAATTTTAATTTTAAAAATAATAAATAAATAATACATTTTCTTCATTAAAGCCAGGTAAGAATATATTTTTCTTTAGTAGTACTTTCATAAATGTTCAATTTTTAAGTTTAAGATTTAAGGTTATTTTAAATACAATTTTATATCATAAGAAATAGCAAAAAAAAAAAAACTGTTTTTTAACCTTAAGTTTTTTTTTTATTTTGCAAGTGCAACTGCGAGAGAAATAAAAAAATGTGGTGAAGGGAAGAACCTACTAAATACCTAAAATGCTCTACCAACTTAACGACTTTTTCGGATCCTTAACTCCCAGCCAACTGTTCAAAATTGATTGGATTGTCTGTAAACAGAAGCCAATTGTGAGTGGCGTCGTGAGGTAATTGTGAATTGGTAATGGGAGTGAAAAGGTTGGCCTTGGCCAATACGACAACCAAAAACAAAACCAAACAAAACAAAAACTAAAGACCCGACTCGAACTCGAACTCGTGCCACGCCCACCCAAGTGGGTCAATGTGGGAGGACAAGGACAAACAAGCAGTAAAACGGTTTCTGTGGCTTGCGGAGGAAAGGCGCCAAAGGGGGCGTGCCAATTATTTTTTGACCCACTTAAGTGCCCATGTGCGTGATAAACCATGGCAGTTGATATTGTTGTTATAGTTTTTGGCTCTTACTGCCTTCGGGCGATATAAATCAACATCCGCACGCAAATAAATCACATTAAATAACCGATAACAAATACACGAGCCAGCGAACAGCAATCTTTTTCCATCCGCCAGGAAGAAATACAAAAAAAAAAAAATGATGTGGAAGAAGTAGAAGAATTATATTTGTGTGTATGTATATGTTTAAGGAAGGGGAGATTGCACATGAAACGGTGGCTTTATTTTTAGAACGGTACACGC